GCCCCCGCGTGTTCTCTTCGTCGTCTCCGGGAGCGTGTAGGTCCCCGTCACGAGGGCGTCGTCCGAGGGGTGAGTCCGGGGAAGGTCTGTGCGCCCTTTTCCTTCCTGCAGGGGGCGTCCGGGCGGCCTGTCCTGCACTGAACCCCCTTTGCGCCTCTCGGGGAGCATGCTCGGGGGTGAGGGGCTGTGTCTGTTCTCCCCCCCGCCCCCCGGTTCTCTTCCCCAGAGCTGATGGCAGCAGCTTCATGCGGCCGCGAAGGTGGACAATGTCCGGCGCCGGTTTGTTCTTCTGTCTTGTGCTGGCTGTTGGGGTCCCTCGCTGCAGCCTAAATTTTAGGGTGTGTCTGAAACGTGTTCACAAAACAGCTGGCATGGAGCCCCGCTTTCAGGGCTGCCCCCGGCACCCGTGAAGGGCAGAGGCCAGTGTGCGGGGAGACGGTGCGAGAAATGCCATCCCCTCGCCCAGTGAGCCGAGGGGCGCTCACATCCTCAGTGAGAACCCAGGGCCCTTTTCGTAAAGTGACAGCAAAATAAGAACACGGGCCTTAAAGATAGGACAGCAGCCCGGCTGGCGGGGCTCAGGGGTTGAATGTCGACCTGTGAACCAGGAGGTCAGGGTTCGATTCCCGGTTGGGGCACATGCCCAGGTTGTGGGCTCCATCCCCAGTGTGGGGCGTGCAGGAGGCAGCCGATCAGTGATTCTCTCTCATCATTGGTGTTTCTCTCCCTCTCTCCTTCTCCCGTCCCCTCTGAAATCAAGAAAAAACTATATATATTTTTTTAAAAGTGTCAAAATGAGTGGAACCAGGTCCCTCCGTAACAAACCCAGAAACGAAAAGAAGTGAGGCCCCTCCCCCAGCACGTCCCTGCCCGCGGGCCTTTGGGCGGATGCCCCCGGCGGCGAGGGAGTGGCCGCCCGGAGGTGTTGTGCGTGGACCCCTCACTATCCGTTAAGGTAGCTCCCGGGCGCACACCATCCGCCCTCACTCTCCGTTAGCTCCTGTGATGTCCCCCCTCACTGTCCGTTACGGTAGCTCCCGGGCACACACCGTCCACCTTCACTGTCCGTTAGCTCCTGTGATGTCCGCCCTCACTGTCCGTTACGGTAGCTCCCGGGCACGCACCGTCCGCCCTCACTATCCGTTAGCTCCGCCCTCACTGATTTCGTCCAGCTGTGCTGTCAACCTACAGAAGGGCCGTGAGCTTCCCCTGGGAAGAAGCAAAGGAGCCAGGAGGCTCAGGGACCCAGGCGACGGCCAGAGGTCGGGGGGCGGGGGGGGGTGGGCAGCCGAGGGTCCAGGGGTAAGTGGTGATGGGAGGAGGCTTGACGGGGTGAACACACAGTGGGACATGCTGAGGACGTACATGGGATTGCACACCCGAAACCTATATAACTTTATCAACCGATGTCACCCCGATACATTCAATAAAAAGTAAATTTAAAAAACACAACCCTCTGCCCTGGCCGGTGTTGCTCAGTGGGCAGCGCGTCAGCCCGCAGACTGAAGGGTCCCGGTTTGATTGGGTCAAGGGTACGTCCCGTGGCTGCAGGCTCGATCCCCGGCCCCAGTCGGGACCCGTAGGGGCGGCAACAATGGATGTGTCTCGCTCACCTCAACGTCTCTCTCTGTCTCTCCCCCCCCCTTCTGCTCGCTCTAAACAGCAGTGGAAAGTATCTCAGGGGAGGGTTAACCGCACAACAGAAGCTGCTGCCGCGTTGCATTGCAGCCGCTTCCCTTTAACCCAGCGGTTCTCAACCTGTGGGTCGCGACACCTTTGGGGGTCGAACGACCCTTTCACAGGGGTCGCCCAAGACCATCGGAAAACACATATATAATTACATACTGTTTTTGTGATTCATCACGATGCTTTAATGATGTTCAATGTGTAACAATGAAAATACATCCTGCATATCAGATATTTACATGACGATTCATAACAGTAGCCACATTACAGTTATGAAGTAGCAACGAAAATACTTTTATGGTTGGGGGTCACCACAACATGAGGAACTGTATTAAAGGGTCGTGGCGTCAGGAAGGTGGAGAACCACTGCTTTAACCCTGGCAAAGCCTGCTGTGTGGCTGAGCGATGCCACCGGGTGCGTCGCTGACACCTTGGGGCCTCGTTGTCGCTGGGCCAGGACAGGCCCGTCTTCCTGGTAACGCCCTTCCCCTGAGGTCTGTTAAAAACCAGAGGCCGGTGCACGGCACTCATGCACTGGGGGGCGGGGGGGGGTGTCCCTCAGAGCTTCCGGGCACCGTGTTTGTTTGGGGTGCGGGTGGGGGTGCATTTTGTCCAGACTTTATTGTTCTTACTGCACAGGTTAGTCCTGATCTGATCCTCCAACCTCAACCTTACACCCCGCCAAACGACCATGTAAGTTTGCAGATAAAGCCATTCGAACAGGCAATGTGGGGGGGGGGGGGGCGGGTAACTCCTTTATTGAGACGCTGCTGGAGAATGTCCTCTCCCACAAATGAGGTTTTTGAAAAATAAATGCACGGGGTCAAGGGTTCAAGAGACGCAACACAAAGGCTCGGAAGGAATCCCGAGGGGGACAGTGATGGGGACACAGGTGGGGGGACCGCCCTGGGACCCCGTCCGGAGCAGAGGCGGCTTCAGGAGCAACTTCTTCACCAAGACAAGCAGCAGCCCTGGCGGCGGCCCCGTGGGCTGGAGCCACGTCCCGTTCACCAAAGGTGCAGGTTCAATGCCCGGTCGGCCGGGGCGCACACCCAGGCTGTGGGCGATCCCCTGTCAGGGTGCGTGCAGGAGCCAGCTGACTGATCTTCCTCTCTGTCCCTTCCTCCCTCTCTCTCTCTCTCTCTCTCTCTCTCTCTCTCAAACTCAATAGAAGTATCCTCGGGCGAGGATTTTTTTAGTAAAGAAGACAACCACATACCCAGTGTAGTTAAAGATTTGGAGAAGAGATTTACATAACTGGGAAGCGTTTGGATTTGAATTTGTTAAGCACGTAGAAAATTAAACCAATAAACAAATTACGTCGCTCCAGAGAACACGGAATGTACGGGAGAAGGCACGGGAGTCGAGGTACATCCTGCCGTTAAGCTGCGAGGAGCCATTACTCAGCCACGACGTAGAACCTGGAACGTTGCTCTCGTTAAAGTTATAACTGTAACTGGAAGATAAAAGCCCTGGAAGAGGGGGGGGGGGGGGGGGCGGAGGAGGGGATGGGAAGAAAGCTAACTTGGCGACTGACCTCCCGGAGGACACCTGGCGACCCCGCGTTGTCATGTGTGTGGGGGGAGGGGTGTGGCTGGCACCCAGTGGGCAGAACCCAGGGACCCTGCTGGACACCCTGTAAGCACAGCCCAGCCAAGCGCCCGCGGTCCAGGTGGCAGCCTGCCCCCCGAGAAGCGCGGAGCTCACCCCTCCCCACAGTGGGGCGACCGCAGGCGATTCCCAAAACTCCACCACCGAGCGAGCGGCCACAGGCGGGGGTCGGAGAGGCGGGACAGACACGGAGGGCGGGGCGGTGGCGGTCCTGCTGGTGTGTGACGAGCCGTGGAACTCTGTCTCTAGACCGGGTGCACGTTGGACGTTTGAAATGAGGATTTCCGCGGAGGAGGGGGCGGGTGGAAGTGCAGGCGTGTGCGGAGGGAGGCTGGCATCTCCGTCCTCAGATGCTCCCGGGG